TGTGACTGCATCATAATTAATCACTCTCTTGGTCTTCTTCCTTCCTTCTTGCCTCAGGAACAGGTGCTGTTTCTAAGAACATGCCCCCAGTAAACTTCCTGTGTGAGGTCTAAGAGTCTCAACACCTACTTCCCAGGAAAACCACCTAGAACAAAGATAAATGGAGAGTTAAGCTTGTTGTCATTCAAATTAAGAGAGTGAAAGTCCTCTGTTCTCTCTCCTAAATTCAATAACTAATGAGATTAACCATGGCCTCCACCTGCTTTCCTAATGAACCACCTTTAAAATTTAGTAAACAGGCAACTCAGCAGCGCTTTCTGTTTGTTCTGTTGCCCTCTCCTTAGGGCATTTTCTCAGATATACCACACACACAACAGGATCAAGTGAGGCCACATGTAGACTCTAGGGAATGCATGACACAAATTCCTTTGTTGCCACAAAGAGAACTGGGGAGACTAAATCTCATGTCCAAACACTATTTTATTTATCCTATTATGTCACTAACATTCTCCTAAGGCTAACATTTGTAAATAGCACACAAAATGAATGGATTTTTTTATCCATGAACAACTGGTAAAATTTCTTTTTGCTAAGGGAACCTGAAAAGAAAGGATAATGCTAATGAAATGTAATGGAATAGTGTACTAGGACAGCTGTAATTTTTAGGCCTGGTAAAATTATAAATTAGATTAAAGTGTGGGTGACAAATGTTGGTCTAGGCTATTTCCCCAGAAAAACACAACAATTTATATAGTCAATTTTCAATTATCTGCCCAAGGAGAAATAGCAATAATGGCAATTATCCAAAAGAGTAGATAATGAACAAATTCATTTCTTTTTGACTTTGAAATATTACTTTGTATTCTAAAACCAACACTTGAATGTGTATGTTATATTTTAGAAAGTGGCAGTGCCTGTAACTTAGATACTAAAATTACACTTTGAAATCAAACTATAAAATAGTAACTATACTTTTCATCTTGTCTTGTAAAATATATTCCTGCTATCTATATTATATCTGTGAATATGTCATCATCATTAAGAGTAATGTTAAGTTCATCCTAAAGCTGAGAAAATTTGCATCTGTATGTTTCTGATTTCCTTTGTCCTGGAATTGATAGTAATTAATTATTTTGGTTAAAAGAATCCACCTTCCCTTCCCTTGTCTGGCTAACATTAATTTTTTAAATGTGCCAAGAAAATACAAAGTAATGGGTATTTGCAATATGAAGTTATGTCTAAATATGATAGGAGATATTTAAATTCCAATATTTGCCCATGAACAATGAATTAACTATAGACACATTTTCTACCCTTTTTTTGGTGCTGGTTTGATTATATTCACAATGTATAAGCAAGCTATAATGAAAATAACAATACCTGGTACAGTCTCTAGCTTATGGTTTCACTCAATAAGTCTCATTTCCTCTGCTCTTTTATTCCTTTCTTTTCTTCATTCAATAATATTTTATATAAGATGTTCTATATAATTTAATGAACTGCTATTTGCACAGAAAATTTTGCAAAAGCAGAGAAAAAAAATTATATATCCTAGAACAAAACTCTCCCAAATGTTATTTTATCAAATTTAATATCCAATACCTGTTTACATATGGTCTTAGTCACTTTTCTCACTGCTGAGACAAAATACCAGACACCCAAAGTTAAAGGAAGAAAACTTTATTTAGCTCACACTTTGTAGAAGTTTATGTCCATAATCGGCTGGCTCCAAGGCAGAGTGGCACATGGCAGAGGGACAACATTTCATGGTGGCAGATGACAGCAAAAGCAACAAGGGAAATGAGACAATCCTCTTTCTGCCCCTATATTGTATCCAGTCTACCAGGGTTAGAGTGGTGCCAATCCAATCAGTGGACTGATTCAGCAATTATCCACCCTTAATCCCAGTATTGCACTATGAATAAATCACACAGTCTAGATTCAGCCACCTCTGAAAAAACCTATGACTGCATGAAGCTTTGAGAGGGCATCTTGACAGAAACCACAGCACATTCTTAAAAGCTACCTTCATAGAAATTATTTTAGTAGCATTAAGTAAATAATCTATTAAGGGTTATAAAACTGTAAAATTAGAGAGTGTCCATGTGGACTAAAAATTCACTACATGCAAAATATCCCCGACTTTTATAGTCCTTTTGACTGTTTGCTTTTGGGATTTCTTTGCTTTGGCATTTGATGTGTTATGTGTTTGAGTTTTGACCAAATTTGACCTGCTTTCTTTTGAAAAATCTTCTTCAACTGGACACTGATAAAACACAGGAAAGTGGCTTAGCAAATGAGCAAGCTAAATTCAAACAATGCACAAGAGACTCTGTTTTCCAAGGTCATGGCTTTCTCACTGCTAAAGTACAGATAACTTTTTTTAAAAATGGAGAGGATGTGGTTGTGATGATAAATGGCAAATGTAAGTAAATTAGTCATTAGTTATAGGGGACCTGGCCAAGATCCCCAACTGCCTGTACGAGGGTTACGGGAAATGATGATATAAGAAACAGCGGACGCTGGGAGATCAATGCCTCAGGATGGGCAGAGACAAAGATGATCCAAGCCAGCCACTGTTTATTGGGTGTATACAGGATAGGAGGGCTAGCAGAAGATTTGAGATCAGTGCAAGACTCAAAGATCGATGACTGAGCAGGCATCCTGGGATGACCCAAGAGGGTAGAGATGATCTTATACTAAGAAGGATCTTTCCTGGAAGTGTTCTTTAATCTTAGTGCTTTTAGTTTAGTCTTAGTGGGGGTGTGGGGGGTAGGATGGCCCATCCCTAAAGAGCTAATGGGAAATCTCAAAAGGGTAATACCCATAATCCCAAGCCTCCATTTATCCCTTAACAAAGTATGCAAAATTATCCATTGTGAATTTGTGGTAAGCATTCAGTAAATGTCAGCAGTTGTCACAAAGCCTAACTAACTATTGTTACAAATACAGCTAATATCATCCTACAATGACCATCACTAATAAAGCAGCCTTCTGTATTACAAACCAGAAAATGGATGCAGTGGAATCCACTCATGCTTCCACCCATACCCTACACCTTCACTCTTCAAACAAATGCCTGAGTGTGCTTTCATGTGAAGGACCACGTTTCAGTCACTCAACTTAGCCAGCATTCCTTCCAAAGTATTAATGGACAGGCATGGTGGCTTATGCCTGTAATACCAGCACTCAGGAGGCTGAGGCTGGAGGACTGCCATGAGTTCAAGGCCAGCCTTGCCTACACAGTGAGTTCAGAGTTAGCATGAACTGCATAATGAGACCCCATCTCAAAAAAACAAACAAAAAAAAACTAAGAAAAAAAACCCACAAAATATGAATGGTGAGAATAAAACATTATACCTATATTCTCCAGACTCAAAAATTAGATCAAAGGAAAGCAGCTATAGGCAGGCCTACAATCTATTCTTCAAACACATTTGTTCAGGTTCTGCCAATCTTAGAGCCATCCAAGGTGAAAGCAAAACGTCATGAGTGAACTGTGAAAATGAAAGGTCATGTGCAGTTGGCGCTCCTGTTGCTGGAACAAATGACCTGACAGCATTTAAAGGAGCAGTGGTTTACTTTGGCTATCATTGCAAAGATCTCAGTCCATGGTCAGCTCGCTCCACAGCAATGGCATCATGGTGGAGGGGCACGGGTAGAACAAGGTGTTTGCTTCTTGGAGGGAAGGGAACAGAGGAGGGGAACAGTGCCGGAGCTCAAGGAGCCAGGAAACAGATACAGACTCCAAGGTCTCACCTCCCTGTCCTACCCTGACACATGTGCTTCACTGCCAGCTGCCTTTGTTACCTTTGTCTTCGCTGGGACAAAATAGCCAACACCCAAAGCTAAAGACAGAAAGGTGTATTTTGTTCAGTTTGTGGAGGTTTCAGTCCATAGTCAGCTGGCTTCAAGGCAGGGTGGCTTCACAGAGAACAATTCTTGGTGGGCAGAACACAGAAAAAGTGACAAGGAAGGCAGAGAGACTCTTCTGTTTCTTATAGAGTATGCAGGCCACCCACCCGAGGGCAGGTACAGTGTTCACACCCTTAATCCCAGCATTGGACCGTGAATCAATCACAAACTCTAGATTCAGCTGCCTCTGAAAAGTGTGTCCCCTCTTGCCTACATGAGGCTTTGGGTGGACATCTAAACAAAAGCCATAACAGCACCGTCCAAGTCAACCAAATTGACAATGCAGTTTAAATGTCACAGTACTCATGCCTACACCCCCACCAGCTGAGGGTCCTGGCACAGGCAGCCTCGTGCCTTTGCTCCATTTTTGCTACTCTGAAAGTGAAAATGTTGCACTACACGGTAGGTAAGGGCCATTCTCAGGCTAACCCTGACCCTCAGTGGCACAGTGCCTGCCTGGCAAAGGCAAGGTCCTTAGTTCAATTCTGGGTACCAAAAGAATAAAAATAAAAATAAAATACAAAACTCAGTCAGACCTGAGGGTGAACACCTGTAATCCCAACTCTCAGAAGGGTGAGGCAGGAGGACGACCCTGAGTTCAAGGACAGCCTGAACTACTGAGTGAGGCCCTATCTCAATAAATCAATCCATCCATCCATCCAATCATCAATAATAAAACCCAAGAAATTTCCTAAACAAATCTTTATTTCTGTTTTCTTTTAAAAATCTGAAGTTGTGACATTACTTGGACTCTTTTTCTTTATGGCATCAATGAAAATCAAGCAGACCTGAGCAGCGGCTGTCACTTCCAGACGGTGCCTGTGCTCACTAGGTCACCGGGGCCCCTACTATTCCCTGTTATCTCGCACTCAGCCTGCATTCCCATTTATCCTTAACCTGCTCTGCTAATCATCTGGGTTTGCAATCCTAGGACCAGCTTAAACCATCATCTGTGCATTTATTCTCCCCCCAATTCAATGAACCTTTACTTATGTTTTACCCATATCCCATTCTGCTAAGAAGAAATCTGTTTCTCTTTAATTACAGGCCTCTGTCTTATTTCTCTAAACCCAATTAACTTCCAGAACTTCTGAAGTTTCCCTCTATGGAGCCCACTTAGGATTCAGAAGGTTGCTAAGCAGCAGCTCCTCCTGCCGTGAGCCCCTCACATCTCCTCATCAGACAGAGGGAGACCAGGCTCCATGCTCTGCGCCCAAGTAGCAAGGAGGAGAATCCGACACGCTTGGTCCGGCAGGTAGGGGAGGTCTGCACTGCTCACTGGAAAGCCTGCCACTGAGAAAGACAGCTAGCGATGCTGTCAACTCAGAAACCAACATCTAAAGACCAATGAGTACAGAGAAAAGTTTAGCTTCTTTTTCTTTTGTCAATGTGTACCTGCTAGAGAGTGTAAATACCCCTGCCATAAAAGCCTCCTTTTATGAGGGTGACACAGGAGGAAATAATCACACCTTTAAAAGGGCATTTCTTTTAAAGTCACATTTACAGTTATCTATGAAAACTTTGATTTTAGCAATGGGCTCTTCTAAGGTGAACTGTTGGTGAACTAAAGATATGCTTCAGGTAGCCTCAGACCATTCCTATGAGAATCTGTTTTTAAGGCGGTCACTAAATGATTCTTCAGTCTTCTTTGCTGAAATAACCTTGTCCCAAGGGCAATTGTATTTCAATTTTTTTTTAATTTCAGTTGAAAAAAATAAAATTTTATGTGGAAAATAACGGCATAGTTATTAAAAAATACCTAAAAATCACAAATAACTGTTAAAAATGGTTGCAGAGAAAGTGATTTTTAAAAAACAAGATGAACGATCAGAAAATTCCTATTCACTTCTTCCCATAAAGAGCAGGTAAGGTCAATAAAAATGGTTTGAGCAGCCTCCTACTCCCTGAGTTAGGAGAGAAGCACTGGCCTGGCAAGAAGACACTTGGATCCTTGGGTTCAGCGTTCCCACCGCCACCTACTGGGACTCAGGGCCCATAGTCTACCCTTTCGAAGCTACAGTGTCTTTGTCGCTGGAATGGCCAGTCATTTAAGAGTGCTTACTCACCAAGGATATAGCTCAGTGGCACAAGCGCCTGCCTGGCAAGTGCAAGGTACTGAGTTCGATTCCCGGTACCAAAAAAAAGAGTACTTACTACATGCCAAACTCACCTGGCCACTGAAGTGCAGCTGTTAGTGGAAGTAAGGGGAAGCACTGAGCAAATCCCCTGCAAGCTAATTTGGTTGGTTCACTGGTTGGTTGGTTGGTTGGTTGGTTGGTTTGTTGGCTGGTGGGTTGGTTGGTTGATTTCGTGAGCCTGGGTCCCTCGATGCAGAGCAGGCTGGCCTTGAACTCAATATGTAGCTGAGGCTGGCCCCATCCTCCAGTGATCCTCCTGCCTCACCCTCCCAAGTGCTGGGATTACAGGCATGTGCCACCATGCCCAGCTCTCCTGCAAGCTAATTTGCCAAAGATAAATCCAACAAAATATTAATTCATCCATTCCTTTCTCCTTTTCATTATTGACAAACATTCCAACAATTTTCACCGGATGTGTTGATTTTCACAACGTTTTAGATTTCTGTGAGGTTTCAGTGGATTATTTTTTCCCTTTGGCTTCGTGACAGTGTTCCAATGCCCAGTTTGTCTTAGCTCCTGCCATAGTGGAGGCGGAGGGACTCTCTAATGAGGACAATGGAGCAGAGAGAGCACACAGCCAGAAAGGACTGATAGCACGAGATATAGACATAAGGACTCCCTAAAATAGAGGAATCATTCCAGGACTATATGTAAAAGTATTAGGCAGAATCAGCCTGCCCATGGCTTTTCTTCTTAGAAATCTAGGAGCTTAATGGAGAAAATGGACTAAAAACAGAAGTCATGCAATTACCCATTGTGATAAGCACCACAAAAAAACAAGCGTTGCCCTGTGAGGTTCAGCTGGATTCTTCTGCTTTAGAAAGCATGGTCGGAGAGCTGCGAGAATGGAGACAGCCATCTGTGTGCCCCCTGCCTTCCAGCCCACAGTAGGATGCGGAGTCTCCTGGAGGTTCCACGGGGCCATGGGATGTGGTGTCCAGTGAGTTAGCTGTGAATAGAAATAATGTCGCTTCCACCTTGCAGCATTTAATTACCATCCCAAGGCCCTCTTTCTCTACTTCCCTGCAGCGTTCTGGCTGACACTGTGGTTCCAGACATAATTACTCCTTCAGTGGGAGCCCGTGTGACTTCAAAGAGCCCCCAGCAACCCACCGAGGACATGTAGCAGGAGGAAACAACAAACTTATTGTCTTAAGCCACTGAAATCTGGAAGCTTTTGTTAATGCAGCATAACTGAGGCTGTCCTGACTATGACAAGAGGCATCACTTACAGAGCCAAAGGAAACTTTATAGAGATTTTAATACAATAAGCACTGAGCACGGCTGGTTCACAGAACTGAAAGGAAGCCGATCTGGCTAGATTACAGTAAATCAGGAGGCAGCAAACTGTCTTCATCATTCCTTTCCACACTAAACTAACTGCCTTTCAGACTGCTCTGATGTTTACATTCCTGGCATTGCTTTAAGGCAAATTAAGTAGCTTGACTTTAAATGGCTTTGATTTGTTTACACAAATCAAACTCTCATATTTTATCTCATTCCTCTGGATTATGATCATTTTTATCAAGAACTTTGCATGTGGGCTATTGATATGGTAATGCAATCCTTATGCCTTCTCTGAGTTGAGGGCCTCTAGCCTTTCAATCAACAGTGAGATGCACTGGGGCGTACAGGCCCTTCCTAGCTGAGCTGAGGGTTGGGATGGGCAGCGCACAGTGTTTTCCAAAAAACAGGGTGTGATACTGTGGGATTTTTGAGCTCTCAGCTTTTCACATGAATCTCCCATATTCTGGCAACAAAATCTAGAGGAAATCCTAAAATTTTGTGAGACTTCTTATCACCTTTTTAATATTTATGTAGCAGAGACTTTTATAACTAATGTCTTGTTTGCAAACAAAATAAGAACCCCTAGGAAAAAATAAATTGCATGATATGCAGTTTATCCTCTTTGGAAAGAAAGAAGAGCTGAGTCAGCCCTCCGGAGATTAGCCAACCAAGGTACTTCTTTATCCTTGACACTGCTCAGATAGAGCCACTGATATCACAACTGCTGTTATTGAAGTTTGGTAGATTCAGAGGAAGTGCATCCATCTGATATTGCAGTCACTTGTGTACACTTCCTAAACATTTTTATTTGAGGTGAATAAAATCCTGCTTAAGAAAAAGAAGGCAGGGGAGGGGAAGGAAAATGGATTTGTGAATTAAAATTGAATCTAAAGTAGGCTTGGCTCAGTGTTAGGTATTTTCACACACATTGTCATCCCCATATTGTGGAGGAAGCAGCTCAAAGAGGTTATGATTACCCGGCTTACGAATGGCAGTCTACCGAAGGGACTGGGTTCTTCCTTCTAAAGACTTTGCCCTTTCCTTTCTCCCATTTAGGCTAGAGTGTAAAAGTCTCCTGTCCATCACCACTCAAATGGTCAGATCTGGCATTTTTTTTAGTCTCTGGAGTTTTTCACAAAAAGATAAATACCAGACCATGATTGATCTCTTACATACATAGATTAGAAGCACCTCTGCACAGTTGGTTTGTAAGAAGCTGTGCTCTGCTAATTTTCCATCTTCCCTTTGTTCAGTCTCATCCCCTATAATTAGCACAGTCTTGAAAATAGAAATTTTCTGTGACATTAAAATTCTTACCCAGCACACCCTCTAATTATTTCATATCTTCACATTAGGGACTAAGATACTTATGGTGAAGGGTAGAATTGTTTGTTACTTAATTACTTATAGAAGGAGCAGAGGAAAACCAAGACAGAGAGATTATTAACATAATTTCTACTTGACTCCAAACCACATCTCTGCAGAGGGGCACAGGCACGCTTTCTCTCACAGCCTGGACCCTCTCTGGCCTCAGACCTCACCTCTCTTGGTACCAGCCTCAGCTACACCTGTTATGATCTCTTCCTTCTTCTTACCAAGGACTTGACTATCTGTTCATGCACACACTCCCAGCCACTTCCTCTACAGGCCTTCCCAGAGGCCCACAGCAGATAATTAGCTCTCTCTCCCCACACCTCAGGGCACTTTGCACTTGTAGCATCTCTGTGCCTTGTGTGAAGTGGAGCGGGTAGGGCTGAGGCTCTTTCTTCCTGGCCATGCAAACAGTCAGCATTTTCTTGCCTTCCTTTGAAGAGCAGATGCGTCTCCCTCATGTTCTCTGCCCTTACTGTAAGTGGTAGAGCTCAAAGGTCCTCAGGGGCGTGGGGATTGGAAGCTGTAGGGTGCAGGGAGTTGAGGCTCCTGAAGCACCAGGTGGAAAGATGTCTAGCCACACAACAACACCCCATTATGTTATTACACAATTCAGAAATTCCATTTATTTTGTTAAGACTCAGATATGTAAGACTTACTTATTACAGCTCCAAGTGTGGGCTTACCTAACAAGATGCATATGTTTATAAGTATGTGTCTGTGTGAGTGTAATTCCCTCTATTTTAGAAGCCCCACAAGGACTAGGTCTTAAAAAAAAATTAAGCTGAATTTGTGCCTCATTTGGAAATGGAGCAGATGGTCATCAAGATGAAGAGTAGAGGATGCTCTGAAACATCTCCAGTATTGGGAATGCCATTTTCTCATTTGCAAGCAGCTGTCTAGAATTTTGTAAACAATCTCTTAGGTGACTAATTTGGATTAGAGAACAAAAGGAATACCCATTAATTTCCATATTAAAATGTATCCTAGTTCATTGCTCATTCAAATATTCACTGTTTCAGCCACCAAGTACATTCAGAACACATTCTACGTGCCAAGTGGTCCTCCAACTGGAGTTGATCAATACCAGACCTGGCTCCAGCTCACTCCAAGTTCACAGTCCTCTGGGAGGACCAAATATCCACTACATTCCCACACTACTAAATAAACACTCAGTTTATCACCCTATCTCTTGGCTTTTTCTTTCATAAGCTAAGAAGCATGAGATAGACTATTTCTCAGATTTTCTTATAATTTCTTATAATTTTATTTCTTATGTAATATTTAAGTGTAATGATTATAAAATATACAGCTGTGCTTGACACTTGCACTTGGTAAATCATAGCTCTTAATATTCATGTTAATTTAGATAACTATTGATTTGTATAATCAAGGAAGCTGATTAGACTGAGGGAAAGGCATGTGAAAGACAACAACTGTCCTTGTAAGTTAACCCTGAAATGGGGATTGAGAGGTTGAAAAGAATGTTCCAAATTTTTAACAGTGAAACAAAATAAAAAATAACTATATGCAAAGGACCTCTTCAGAAGAAATATTTTAAGGAACTGAAGGAGAAAAAATTCAAAGCAGCTGGCATCTAGAAAGCCAAGAAGAAACCATTCTATGGGAGGAGATCAAGCACAGCCTTGGAAACCGCCACTGAATGGTGGTTTCAACAGATGGTGGCACAAAATTATATGATCACTTTGAGAAAGATCACTGCAGCTGAGATGTGGAAAAAGAGTTAGCGTGGAGACAAATAATGTGCCACAAGTCCACTTGAAAAGTCTCCATAGGAGTCACAGTAAAGACAACCAAAGCCTGAGTAAGGTGCCGACGGGGAGATAGAGAGAGGTAAAGATGTAAGAGGAATTTCTCAAGTGATATTGGAAGAACATGTGTTACCAGTGGCTCCTAGTTTTGCAGATAGATCAAGGTACATTTCACAGAGATGGGGAATGAAAGAGGATCAGGGTTGCAAGGTCAGGAGTTTACCTTTGTGCAGGTTGCATTCAGGGGCCCCTCAGCTATGCAAGACCACAACCATATATATGGCCCTGGATCCCATGGACAGCTGTGAGCTAGAGCATACATAACTGGAATGTAGATTCTAAGTCTGTTGGCAGAAAAGTTTGCTTAGAAGACAAGATTTACTTAGACTGAGAAAATAAGAGGCCTTAGGACTTACCCTTGAACTCGGTAGCAAAGGAGACTCTATGAGTGAAAGTTCTGCAGAAAAATTGAACAAATTGTGTGTGTGTGTGTGTGTGTGTATGTGTGTGTAGATTTATTTTTAGGAAGTGGCTCATGCAATTATAGAGCCATGGTGAGTGTAAAATCTGACAGGGGAGGCCAGCGGACTGGAGACTTGGGAGAGAGCTGCCATCCAAGTCCAAAAGTGGACCACTGGCACACCAGGAAGAGCTTTTGTCACAGATAAAACCTGACAGCAGTGTTCTGGAGAATTCTGTGTTCTCAGGGACCATAAACTTTCTATTCTATGAAGCCTTCAAGTGGTTGAATGATACCCACTCAGAGTACAGAGGGAAATATACTCCAGGTCCTCTGATTTATATGTAAATTTCCCCCCCAAACTCTGCCACACTAACATGCAGGATAATGCTGAACAAAATATCTGGGTGTTGTGGTTGAGCCAAGTTCACTCATAAAGTTAACATCACAGAGACACAAAAGGAAAACCGGAAGTAGTAGGCATTCTCAGGCACTATAGAAGGTGCCAGGGATACAACCTCTGTCATGGCTGTGTGATGAGCCCTGCAGTCAGTCTGGCTTGAGTCCTTACTTTGCCATTTACTTCCCTTCTGACCTCAGGCAAACTGTGCAACAACTCGGTGCCTCATCTTTAAAATGGAGATAGCATTGTCTATTTCTTAAGGTTATTAAAACAAAGTAGTTAATAAATATAAAGAGCTTAGAAAACTGAACAGAGTAAGTGCTCGATAAATGCTAGCTCTTATTCTTGAGATAAACACAGACTTCTCCTTACTAAGCTCCACAGGGCCTGGGTTGTGGGATAAGCACACAATAGTGACTACAGAGGACATGCTTCTATCCTTTCTGGATAGAAATGCCCAGTCTAGCCTCAGACAGGTATCTGGTATACAGAGGGAAGACACAGATGCCTAACAGCTGTGATTTAGGGGATTCAGGAACTGGCTCAACCCCCACCTCCACTCAAAGATACCTGCCTCATGAGTGGGCTGGCACACTTGTGAAACAAATTCCTCCTTCATCTTTTCTCCTGAGGGGCTTCCTGTTAACCTGAAGACTTCCAGTATCAGCCTCTAATGGCTCTATGTGAATTTCTTTTTAGGTAAACCAGTCCATTTCTTTATTTTTTTATTTTAAAGAGAGTAGCAAATGAGAAACAAACAAACAAACTAAAAGTAGAACAGTAGCAGCATACCAGTACCACGATTATAAACAAATCAAAGCAAGAACATTCAAAGTGATACAGGGTCTCAAGACAAATTAATACAAATCAACAGTGGTTGTTACATTACATATTGCTATCCTCAATTACATTGCTCAGATTACCAAATGTAAGAATGAAAGGTTGCTCAAACCGTTAAAGAGAATAAGAAAATACTTCTTCGATAAAACATTAGAGATAATACAGAGTTTCACTAGACAGGATGGTAGGAGTTCACCACTGTAATTCCACTGCAGTTCCACTGGTCAGTTCCTCAGACCACCAGACACAAACATGCAAAATTGATCAGAATATAAAAAATTGTAAGCATTAACTGTTCATTTCAATACACCATCAGACATCAGCCGTACCATCATTGCAGCTATTCATATATATATTTATATTTTGCCTTTCTTCTTTCTTTTTTCTTCTTTCCCTCATCCCAGTTGTTCCTTCCTTTGAGAAATTTCTTTCCCTTTCCTATCATCTATTGTACATTTTGAGTTTTACCTATTCTTTCAGGTTCCTACACCAAGGAAGCAACATGATGTTTACACATGTGGAAACCAGTCCATTTCTAATGGAGCAAGACTTCCTCTGGCTCCTGAGGGGAGGCAGAAAAAGCCAGGTGAGAAGAAAAGGGAAAGGAAGGAACAAGAGAGAGGCAGACGACAGCAAGGATTCAGAAGCTTCCCCACCTAACATTTCTGTAATGGACACTGTCCACCATGCCTCAGGCCACCAACATGGCATCTTTAAAATATGTTCTGCAAAATCCTTCACCTATTGTTTTAACTGCACTCACTTTAGGGTTTTATTTTTGCCCTATGATGAGGCAAACTACTGTATCCAGAAGTTGGCTACCAGTAGAATACAATCTTCTTGCTAGGGGCTGGGGATTTAGCTCAGCGGCATAGCACCTGCCTCGCAAGTGCGAGGCCGTGAGCTCGATTCCCGGTACCAGAAAAAAAACAAAAACAAACAAACAAACAATCTTCTTGCTAATTTCACATGATCCTACAGCGTACACCATAAATATTTTTTCCCTTTGAGCATCCTCTTCGCTCTCACTTTTGAGATGGGAGTCCACCTCTTGTCTCTGATCCCCCCAGAGCAATTCTCCAGAAGGCACACAACTCTTCCCTGCAGCTCCTGCAGAAATGAGAGAAATTCCAGTTGTGCATCTGCCCCTCCAATTGGTCTGGGGCTTGGTCAGCAAGGCTGTGCAATAGTACTTGGGCCTTCTCTCCGATTTCTCTAGACATTGCTAAAGGGTTTGGCAAATTATCCATCTTATAACTCAACAGCCACTGTGAAGTTGGCAGGTAGCTTTATTTATCTTTTTAAATTAAATGTGGATAAAGTTCATGGACCATCATGAGTTTAGAGCTAATTGTTCAAGTGTTTTCCCTCTGGTTCCTCCTCTTTCAGCCCTCCATGCTGACAGTTTAATTTAAGCATCATTTCTTTTTATTCACTGTCAGAACTGGTGCCTCACAATTTCCTTCAAGGTGGGCTCTGTCTGACACTCTTCAGCTGGCCAGAGTAGCAGGTCCCACTTGCATCAAGTTTCCGCACTTTTCAGCCATATGTACTTAAGTGGCCTACCTTAGGCCTACATCACACAGTGGGATGTGTCACCTCAGGTCACCTAACCCACAGTCTTGGGCTCTGTCCCACCACCATCGTGCTACCCAGGGCTTGTGCCATGCTCTTCTCCTTCCTGGATACAGCACTTGGCCAGACTTCCCTCACACCGTAACACCTGAGGAAGAGGAGTCGGCAGAAAGGGCAGCTGTCAGTGCCCTTCGGTTTCTGATGAGCCTCTCCTTGTGGGACAGCTCCGAGCACCAAGGACAAGGAGACAACAGGAGGTGCTGCAGTGACTCAAGCTCCTGTGCTGTAGCAAACAGATACACGCTTTCACAAAATATTTGCCCTTCTGTGTCACTGAAAAGGTCTTTGAGCCCCAAACCTTCAAACAAACTGATGAAGACACAGTCCATCAGGAATGAGTCTAAGTGGAGCGACGAGGTCAGAGAGAGCCAAAGATGTTGGTGGCACACAGGAATATTTGTAAATGAAACACAATTTTCCACTGTTTTTCCAAATGTCTTCCTCATTAAAAACAATCATGCTTCGTGTTCAGAGGCAATTCCTGTTCACCAGCCAGCACTGTGGCCCAGAAGTTTGCTTTCCTGATGGAGTGCTTGCTTCTGGATTTAGATGCACTATAACAAAACTCCTTCCCAAACCAGGCCTCAGCCGCTGAACACCATGAATTGGAAACCATTCCCTTTCCCAACTCCTAGGTTTGCACATTTTTAGAGGCATTGAGAAAGGTTGTTGGCATTTGGCCACATCTGGTACTCCTTCCTGAGACTTTGTGGCAGTCGTTCTCAGCTGAAGTTTCTGAAGCCTGGGGAGACTGGAAGACAGACAGCACAGAAGGATCTGGAAGCACAGCAAAGACTTGTGCAGAGAGCAAAATTGCCACTCCCTCCCCACCTTTGAGGATGTTGTAAACTGTTTAGCAACTCTTAGAATTAAGTAAAGTTTTATTTCCCACATGCCTTGACAAATATTTATTCAGCTATGACCAAGGGCTCATGTTTGCCATCAGACTGTGACACCATCTGATGAACCTCATTTCCCTGGCACCCACAGCAGGGAACCTGAAAGGAAGTAGGCACTCACAGATGTTTGTCAAATGAGTTGGCATACACCATACAGGATTTGGAAAATGGCCTCTAATAAGAAATAATTGCCCTTTACCAATGGAGTCCACCAAACAGCCCACAAGTGACATCTCAGATCTTTCCTAATAGCACAAAATATCCCTCAGATTCTAGTGAAATGAATCTAGTGTATTTATATACTACCTTATGAATTAATAAACATCACTCCTTGAAAAATGTTCTGTGGGCATTCAACATGCTAGAAACATGATCAACAGAGGTCATATCATTGAGAAACCTACTGTAATGATTCCTGATATTTTTTCAGCTATAGCCCATGTGAAACATAAATTTCTCATGGGTCACACGCTGCCATCAGGCAAGAGAAACCACGTCTCTTTCTTTATCTCTCAGGAAAGTAAACAAGAAGGCAAGTGTGCAAAACTGATCTGGTACTTTTAGAAGGACAAAATTGAATCTGATCTAATTTTAAAATCACAATCCTAATGACAAGACAGCTGTTTCTCAGTGCTTACTGTGTGCTAGGCACTGTGCCATGACCTGTCATATATGATGCCATTTGAACTAGAAACAACCCCAAATGGTTGGTTTCATAGTACTCTCACTTACTGATTAGGAAACCATGGAAATAAAGTTTCTGGACTAAGTATCTCAATCTGTGCCTTCACATTAGTGCCACACTCAAACTCCAGCAGCTGATGTCTGCCATTATAAATTGTCTGTGATATCCCTCACCTCTGACTGCCACACCTGCATATTATATCACAGAGAACCTTTCACCAAAGCAACAGTCCTGCTTCTACCAAAGCAAAGTTTTTCTCCCAGATTCAAACAAAATTCTCATATTTATGAGTCACTTATCAATTCTCATATTTATGAGTCATTTATTGGGTCTTGAAAAACAATAATAGCTGTCTCTCAATGAGTGTTATGTTCTACTCACCATGTCAGACATTTTGCATAAATTATTTCTAATAATAACATAAAGTATTGTGCACGAAGTTAGAACAGAACAGAAAGTGGAGCCAAGATTTGTCCCATTTAGTATCATTTTTCAGCTCGTGGGGCCCTCCAATTTCTCTTTTGCCTGCTCTTTGCAAGTCTTGTGTTTCTCACTTTCCTCCTCCATTGTTGGTTTCCTTCTCCACTGGCCTCATCTCCAGCCCTCCCCTTAGCTGAGAGTCAGCAACTTAGTGGACCATGATGAGGTGGAGTGTTGTGTGGGGAGAAGTCCTCTAAGATGTGAGGAGGAAGGTGGACAATGTGTAGGAGGACCGTACCGGAAGTGATGTCAGAAGGGGAAGCCATAGGGGTAGGCTTTGGATGAAATGTTCCAAAGAAGGGTATAAAAGCCCCACCAGGGAAAATAAAGGAGAAAGTAGTCGGGGCGGGCAGGTGGTAAGCAAGCAGAGCACACAGCAGGACCCAGATCTCTCCGTGAGGACACAGTGGGGGCTGGCTGTGAGCCACAACAGAGCTTTCTCTGAGGGAAGAGTGGGGGAAAGAACTCTCTAGAGAACACTGGCAGTTTTTTATGAAGAGAATGACACTGAAAGGGAAAAGCAGCTTTTCTCAGCCACACTCTGACATTTGTGTGGGCGTCCTACTGACAGATGACTAGATCATTTCTCTCTGTCATCCTCACCAATCACCACCCACCTCCGGAAGTCATGGCCCAGGGAAATGCCTTCGAGGACCAAACTGAGGTGATTTCTCTCCAGCCCTTAACACATGAGCAGCCTCCTAAGTGACAATCCTCACCAGGGTCAGGCCTTTTCACAGAGCAGGGAGCATGGGCAGTAGTGAGCAGGCTCCAGGGCAAGCACCACCACTGTCCAGATTTGGAGGAGGAAAGAGATGTAGCAGGAGCAGAGTGGGACAGGGATCCATTCGTGCAAAAATTAAAGACTTTGGTCAGAAAGAAAACTTAAGGAGGTGTGCAAGGCTTTTCTAGCCTTCAGCACAATGCTTCCCAAGTTTCAATTAAGGAGTTTGTGTATTATTCATTATGTCACACTTGCCAACAATTTTGAATCACCAATATTAACACGGGCACATTGTGCTACATATTTGAAGCCAGTGATACCAGTAATGATTATCCTGGACATGTATGGATTTAGTAAAAAGACTAGTGTGTGTCCAGCAGTTTGTGTTGCACAAAGAATTGATTTTAAATTGGAGCTGTTTGAAAAACATCTACAACTATCAAAATTGAGAGTTTGATGTAAAAATAAACAAGAATTTTTTAACTGATTTAATCACTTTGATTTTACATTAACAAGTCAAAAGGTCAAGCAATTTAATTAAACACACACATACACTGTTCATTGATTTTGGCTGACTGAAGGTACTATTCCCAAGAGGAAGCAGTGTGCTGAGATGGTGAGAGAAACGCCTTGGATGTCAGATACGCTGGACTTGGGCTTGGGCTTTGGTAAACACCAGCTGTAAGAACTAGGATGAAATGAACCTCTGAGCATCCAGTATCAGCATCCTGGTTCTGATGACAGTCATTGAGATAATGGAGGCAAAAATAACTTGCATACTGGAAAGTTCTCTCTAAAATGCAGTTATTACTATTGGTAAGAGTCACAGAACTCCAAAGCCAATTATTCATCAATCCTTTACAATGCCAACACTATATCTGATGCACTTACTTATAGAAACCTTACCGTGTTTGATAGTCTATCCCTCTCTTGTGTGAATCACACTTCTCACTCATTTTTGATAATGCCTTCTATTCACAATTTAACTCAGCGCCTCTGAAGACTGTAAGCCCAACTACTGCTGCAGTTAATGGAAATTCTCGTTTTTATGAGTCGCATCTGCTGTGACATCTGTTTGAAACCCAAGGAGGGGATTCAGTGTTCACAAGCAAATTGAGTAATTACTATGTAATTACAATTTAAATTGTGTAGTCACTGATCTG